TAACTTAGTAGGCTAGGCTGGCCTACTTAAATTTAATGGCTAGGCCTAGGCCTAACTAGCCAAGAGAGAGAGAGAGAGACCTACCTAGGCCTAGCCTAATCAACACTTGTATTTGTTAAAGGAGGCATGCCGTTCCTGTCTATCTTGCCATAGTATCAAGTTGATTGGCTAGGGACTCTAGGCTATAAAGTTATAATTAAGTCACCATGTCACATGTATTTATTATAATTTTTGAACCAATAATTTTATTTACATTTCATATTTTCAGAATTTGCATTGCAATGTTTTTTTTGTACGGATAATCAGTGACGAAGATGGGAAAGTTAACTGTTGACCTAATTGCTAAAGCCTCGAGCAATGCAAGGAAGAAAAGAGATGAGTCCCTCAACCACTATCTAAAACGTTTAACTCATCTTTATTTTGCTGAAAAGAAAATTGATGGCATTGTTAGTAAATTTTCTGAAATTTACAAAAAAGGCAATAAAAATCATCCACAGAACACATCTTGAAATCAATTAACTATAATTAAATTATTCAGTGATGTAAAAGGCGGGCATAATAAAATTAAATATTTAAAAAAAAAAAAAAATTATACTTGTATTAAATGCTTGCGGTACACTGTGTGATAGTTCTGAAAAAATTCAATCTACTTATACTTGTTTGTAGATCTTTTAAGAATCTGTGGTGCTACAACAACTTTAGAAATAAAATTCAATATTTGAATTGCTTAGTTTGTTAAGTAGGAGGAATTATTAGATTTAATTTGAAAATTACAATGATGAAATATTTTATTTGCCAATTAACGAACATATAAATGATGCAGTTCCTAAATATTCTTTAGGAGACCTGTAAATTGGCTAGTAATTTACTGTTTTTGTAAAACAAGGTCTGTAAATCATTAAACTATTTGGTTTGATCTTGCTTCATAGCAATTGGAAGTAATAACTTAAAAACTATTGTTTTGATCATTTTAATTGGGCTTTTTTTTTTATTATGTTTTAATTGAGGATTTTTCCCAGATTTTATGACAGATGGTATCTTACTGAATAGGTTAAATTTATTGCATCCTTTTTGTTGCTTTCCCAGAACTGTGCACACCTATAATAAATTACTTGTACACAATAACATCAGACTTATGTTGTCAAATTTTCAGTGACATATATTCAAATTTATATTACTTTTTGTTTCAAGGATGATTTATCACAGTGTCGGAACCTATCGGTACTATATCTATATGACAATAACATCTCACAGATCACCAACCTTGGATTTGCTACAAATCTTACTCATCTCTACTTGCAAAACAATGCCATACAAAAGATAGAAAATCTTAGCATGCTGACTAAGTTGTCGAAGTTGTAAGTATCCAATTTGATTTACTAATGAATTTGGAGACACTCTATTAATATTTAAATAATGATACTTCTTCTGCCCTAATTCAGGCCTTAAACTTTCAGTTTGCTTTGATCTTTTTAACAAGTAACAATATTTTGTTATATAGTAATTCTAAAATAAATATTTTCTACAGATATCTAGGTGGAAACTATATAACAGTATTAGAAGGTCTTGATAAACTTGACCAATTACGGGAGCTGCATATAGAAAACCAACAGTTACCCCCTGGAGAAAGGCTATTGTTTGACCCCAGGTCACTAGCAACATTATCGGTAAGCATCTGCTTAATTCTGTTCTTTCTTTCAAAGGTACAAGGACATGCATAGCTATGTATGGTTTATTGGCAAGAATGCACTGAGTTTATTCCATTCATTTTTAAAAGATTTTTAATCTTTGAATTTATGATATTTCTTGTTGTCTTTGTTTTATGTCCATATTCAGAATAAAAATAAAAAAAGATAAAGATTTTTTTTTAAATATTTGTAAATTTTCTGATTTTATGTTTTAAGCATCCCTTTAAGTAATCTTGTAATTCTCGGGGAAAAAATCATTGAGAAATTCAACTACTAAAGGGCATAAAAATATAGGATTGTGCAGCAAACAATAAAAAAAAAAGAGTGCTGGTTAAGAGAGGTAAGAAATTGTAGGCCCTTTGGCTGTAAAAACATCATTGACATTTTTAACCATGTGAGTACATAAATAAAAAAGATCTTTACAGTAGTTGTA